AGGAGGGGGGAGGGGAGGAAGGAAGGGGAGATTAGAACGTAATCCACAGTCAGTGAAGACAAAGAGAAGAATAAAGATTTTTGTAAAGGTTAAACAAACAGATGTGACCTTTGACCCCTGAGCTCTTCAGTAGGTGTATGTGTGTATGTGTGTATGTGTGTGTGTGTGAGAGAGAGAGAGAGAGAGAGAGAGGCCACTGTTTGTCTTTGATGACCTGGTGATAAGGTCAGTGTTTGTCATGTGACCTGAGTGCTCTGCTTTGATTCGTCCATTATTTGGGACAGACAGAAGGACAGACAGAGGGACAGACAGAGGGAGAGACAGACAGAGGGACAGACAGAGAGACAGACAGAGGGACAGACAGACGGACAGACAGACAGAGGGACAGACAGAGGGACAGACAGAGGGAGAGACAGACAGAGGGACAGACAGACAGACGGACAGACAGACAGAGGGACAGACAGACTGAAGTACCAAGGCCAGAAGAAGGTTCCAGCTCTGACTCCCTGTTTCTCTGCTGTGATCCAGATCTGAAACACACAGAACAGTTACTGACCATCGACAGACAACGACAGACAACAAAAACAGACAACAACAGACAACAACAACAGACAACAACAGACAACAGACAACAGACAACAACAGACAACAGCAGACATCAACAGACAACAACAACAGACAACAACAGACATCAACAGACAACAACAGCAGTAGTTCCTCTAACGGTACCTCCTGGTTCAGTTCTAAATACTGAGAGGAGACTCTTGGACTGGAGCTACGGGACATTCCTGGTCCTTTGACTCAGTCTTAGTACTGTTCCTGTTCCTGGTACTGTTTCTAATCTTAGGACTTGGTACTGAGTGTGTGTCTCTCACCGGTTGTCCTCCCCACCACCTGTGTTTCAATTTCTCTCTGCTTCTCAAACTGAAGGTGGCGTTAAACACGGGGTCGTACATGGTGTTACCCACAATGCCATGGGACTCTGGGTAAAGACCCTGCAGAGAGACAAGAAAGTATCAGAGAGACAGACAGACAGAGAGACAGAGGGACAGACAGAGGGACAGAGAGACAGACAGAGGGACAGACAGAGAGACAGACAGAGGGAAAGACAGAGGGACAGACAGAGAGACAGACAGAGGGACAGACAGAGGGCCAGACAGAGGGACAGACAGAGGGACAGACAGAGAGACAGACAGAGGGACAGACAGAGAGACAGACAGAGGGACAGACAGACAGACAGAGAGACAGACAGAGGGAAAGACAGAGGGACAGACAGAGAGACAGACAGACAGAGAGACAGACAGAGAGACAGAGAGACAGACAGAGGGACAGAGAGACAGACAGACAGACAGAGGGACAGACAGAGAGACAGACAGAGGGAAAGACAGAGGGACAGACAGAGAGACAGACAGAAAGACAGAGAGACAGAGAGACAGACAGACAGAGAGACAGACAGAGGGAAAGACAGAGGGACAGACAGAGAGACAGAGAGAGAGACAGAGAGACAGACAGAGAGACAGAGGGACAGACAGAGGGACAGACAGAGAGACAGACAGAGGGAAAGACAGAGGGACAGACAGAGAGACAGACAGACAGAGAGACAGACAGAGGGAAAGACAGAGGGACAGACAGAGAGACAGACAGAGGGACAGCCCGTGACCCCCGACCCACCGTGGCCAGGGTGTACAGGTTGGGGAAGGTCTTTGAAGGATAGACTGGTCTCATGTATGGAGATGATGTTCCACATTCTCCTGAACAGACAGAAACAACAGCAGGTTCTCTGAGTCTCTGCTCATGGGCTCCACCTACAGGACACCACTGCACACTGACTCACTCAGCTTCATGATGTTGGGGATGACGGATCTGCCCTTCTTCAGGTAGGAGGCTCGGAACCCGTCCACGGAGATCATGATGAGAGGAGGTCTGATGAAGCTGAGGAACAGGGTGAGGACAGGAGGTCAGTGGAGGTCAGTGGAGGTCAGTGGAGGTCAGTGGAGGTCAGTGGAGGTCAGGGGAGGTCAGGGGAGGAGGGAGACTCACCCTGCAGGACATTCTGGACTCCTGATCTCCTCACAGTCTCCATGGAGCCAGGAAGTCTCACCTCAGGAGGAAAGAAGAGCAGTGAGCCAATCAGAATCTGCCGTTAGCATTAGCGCCACACTGGCTAACTCTTAGTGATTCCTGGGACAACGTGAAAATGTCCCCGTGGCCTGGTACCGACTGACCCGTGGTCCCGTCCTGGGCCTGTTGGTGGTGATCTACCTAATCTGGAGGTTTATGAAACGCCCACAGGGGGGCGACGTCAAACTCCATACAAAAAGACAGACCAGGGACGGAACCAGTGATCCAACAACATTCACCTCCACGTGGCCCGGTCGTCCTTCCTCATCCCTGATCCTAATCCTAATCTCTGATCCTAATCCTAATCCTGATCCTGATCCTAATCCTAATCCTGATCCTAATCTCTGATCCTAATCCTAATCCTGATCCTAATCTCTGATCCTAATCCTGATCCTAATCTCTGATCCTAATCCTAATCCTGATCCTAATCTCTGATCCTAATCCTGATCCTAATCTCTGATCCTAATCCTGATCCTAATCTCTGATCCTAATCCTAATCCTAAACTCTGATTCTAATCCTAATCCTGATCTCTGATTCTAATCTCCAGTCATCATCTATAAAACCAATCTGTAATCCTAATCCCAGGTCCGCTGTGTGCTGCGACCTACAGCAGTGACCTTTGACCTCCGGGGTCATGTACCTGTGCACAGGGACTGGTAGTTGGAGCAGCAGTCTCCTCGCTGCAGACAGTCGTCGGAGCAGTGACAGGCGTGCTCCTCCCGCCGCTCCTCGCCACATCGTTCCTGGGAGCACTCGAAACCTCCGCCTGTGGAGGAGCAGAGAGGTCAAAGGTCAGGTGGATGTGTGGAGACCGGACGTCCCGCTGCTGTCCCCCGTCAGACCCTGCAGTACCGGTGTACTCACCCTCTCACTGAGAGAAGCGGTGGTTTTAGCTCACAGGGAGATTAACTGACCACCAGAGGCCACTAGAGGCAGTAGTGGACCAGTAGGTCATGTTTCAACGGCCTTTCTGTCTAAATTGTGGACTGTGCCTTTAAATGTTGAGAACATGTGAGATGTGTGTGTCGTTGTTGTTGATTTCCTGTCCTACAGCAGGAGACCCCCGGGCTGATGAACCCAGCTGACCTTCCGACCTCCCTGACCTTCCCGACGTGTCTCACTGACCTGTTTTCAGACAGTGCTCGTCGAAGTCCGAGCAGCAGCTGTAGTAGGTTTTGCACAGATTGTCACATCTGCATCCTGGAGGTTTGGCCTCCTCCAGCTCGAAGCACCTCCCCCTGCAGGAGCCCGCTGAGCTGACCCACTCAGAGTCCACTGGAGCCAGAGGAGGAAGACAAACACACACATGAGCACAACACACACTCCTCTCTGTCAAACACACACATCTGAAGGATGATTTGGTAAAAAGGAAAAAAAAACAGCTGCAGATCAATCTTGTTCAAAGGAACAAAGGAAGGTGAAGAAGACGGAGGAAATCTACCTCTGATTCAGAGTCAGACTGAGAAAATCTACCCAATCCTCGTTTGTCGACTTATTTTACTTCCTGACAAAGTACAAATGTGACTTTGTAAACAACTCACTCTGCCACACGAGAGTCCACGGAGAAAAACTGTGATTTTAACCCCAGGTATAAATGTTGGTCTGAACTAAAATCTCTGATTTTCTCCATGGACTTTGGTCTGAACTAAACCTCCTTAAACAGAGGTTCTTCTGTGCGCTCCTCACCTTTGGTGTGAACACCTGGGTTGTCTCCGCCCTCTGAAGGTCGACTGGCCTGAAACACATACGCTCTGCTGACATCACTTCTCCACAGAACCACTGTGTTCTCCACCTGCACACACACACACACACACACACAAACAGATTAAGGACACAAACACACACACATTTTTCCTGCCACAGCGCCACCTCAGTGACCAAACAAGGAGTGTTTTCATGTGACCACAGAGGTGAGAGGTCAACAGCTCCAGCGTGGTTCCACTCCATGTATAGTTGGCTGAGTCTGCTCCTCAAACACACCTGATAAACACTAGGCTCCGCCCCCTCACAGAGTGTGTGATGGCGTCAGGACCGGACCAATCAGAAACTTAAACACAACTGTTGAAGAGATTCTCCTTCACACACACACCCTGCACCGGGACCAGACCCTGGACCAGACCCTGGTCCAGGGTCTGGTCCAGGGTCTGGTCCAGAGTGGGTCAGTGAAGTCAGTCAGTGATTGGACGACAGAGGCAGCAGCTACAGTAACGGTCCACAGAGAACAGCCGACTCCACTTCTTGTCGTCTCCTGACTCCCCTTCCTGTCGTCTCCTGACTCCACTTCCTGTGTCCCAGCCTCTCTTTCATTGGCTGTTTTGAACAGCTGTTTACAGTTGGCTCAATCATGGGTTCCCTCTGTTGGTCTCCTCCCACACAGTGACCAGTGTTTGGACCAACTGACCACCATGACGGTCACCAACTGGGGACTCTGAGCCTGTCCTGGGACTGACCAGAATATGGGCCACGACGTGCAGCCCGTACTGCAGGTCTCAGCGCGGTGGATCAGCGGGTCGGAGCAGTCGCCCGGCTTCGTCTGACCACGCTCTTAGTTTAACTCTGTTTCATCTGCATGAATGGATTTCAGCTTTAATCATCTTCATCTTCATCATCCTCATCATCAGAGCTCAAAGTGCAGCTCAGACTGACACACACACACACACACACACACACACACACACAGGACAGTGGGGGTGAGGTAGAGAGAAAAGTCCAGCTGAGACAGAGACAGAGACAGAGACAGAGACAGTCTTACCGTACCAGATAATCCAGCAGCATGTCCCTGTAACTGTGTCCACCACTGGAGGGAGTGAAGAAGGAGAAACCTCCGAGTCCACGGTCCTGAGAGTCACAACACACACACATGCACACACACAAAAGACACACACTGCTGCTGACCCTGCTCTGAGACCAGCTCTCTCTCTCTCCCTCCCTCACTCTCTCACTCTGGTGATGTCACACTGACAGCTGTGGGGCAGTCAGGTCCTTGAGTGCGCCCCCCAGAGGGGAGAAAGAGAGGTGCACCCACAGAGAGTTGTTTATTTCTGTATTAATTTAACAGAGAA